GTAGTTTGTTAAACGTTGTGATTTATCAATCGAAAGGATTATCCATTTATTCAATATTTTATTCCGTTAGTTGAATTTAGTTTCATGAAATTTTCAACGTGAAAAAAGTGCAGAATAATTTAATCAAAATCTTTTCTTCAAAAGCATTTATATGAATATAGATATACTTGCTTTTTTTTGAAAAAGATGTAATCATAAATAAAGATTTCGTTTTTTCATTCAACAATAAAATCAGCATGTGTATATTGCACACAAATATATACAGCATTCTGACTGCTCACTTCCGTATTTTTACCAATATCATTAGTGTTACAGTACATTGGCACCATTTACATTTACTTTCATGAAGGAGCTGAGCGTCTGTTCAAACTCGGATGCATGGTTCGCTAAAATAAAATCAGTGACGATGATGATGCAGAGCAGTCGATTAGTTGAAATGATAAACAACAAGTAAATAGTGTTTTCCATAATGAAAAGTAATACTCGTGAAATACTTTCAAGCTTAATATATAAATGTTTCTCATCAACTTGGAATAGCTATGAAATGCATAGGTTCTCAATCGCTAATTTTCTACATATATTCGTTCGATTGTTCAATATCATATAGTTAGAATAAACTAATATAAAAAAGTTTGATTAATTCTTTGCTAAGTGTTTCACTTTAGAACGAGAAATATGTGTTTGTTATTATTCAAACCGATATATGACTAAATTGATCTTACGGAGTAACTTATAGATACTACGGCAAAACTTCAGTGAAATCGGAAGAAGACATTGTAAAAGGTTACTGCATTAGTTTCTAAAATTCTTTCTAGTTATACATTACCAACAGATGTTTCTACGCCCTCATAATCGGATATATCTCTAAGACAAGAAAAACAAACAAATCTACCATCATCCAGATCGTCGTAAAAACGACATGTGTACAAATTTTGATTAATCATTTATTAGATGATTGTGACGATGGAATCAACATCTGGAATTTGAACTTGATAATAGGAATGATAATGAAAGTAAAAAAATATTGATCATGATGATATTACAAATGATGTTTATTTATGCGAAACGAGGCAATACAAACATAGAATATTTTATAAACATTATGTATATATAATACAATTGTTCATTTTTTTTTTCTTTGTTCAAAAATAAAGACGATAAAATATAGTCAATTATGTTTTGTTGGATGACCTTCTGCTTGTGATCGTGTTGTGATAATTGTCTTTGTTGTACTTGTTAAGCGGCGACTTGCATCTTCAGCTTCGAGCTAAAATAAAATAGCATTAAAAATTTGTTTGAAAATAATAAAATTAATCAACATGCCTGAACAACTTTTTCAGTAATTTCTTCAATTTTTGAATTCGTTTTAGCTTGTGCTTCTTTAAGAACATTCTATAAAGAGTAGAATAAAAGAAAGGTATGATCAATGAAGTCAGGAAGTTTTTTTGTACCATTTTTAATCGATTTGCTTCTTCATTAATTGAATCAATACGTTTACGTGCTGATTCAAGAACTTGTTCTTGACGAAAATTTAAATCTTTTTCAAGTTCAACTAATTTTGTTGCTTTATCTTGATCAAGTTCATTTAGACATCTTTAATTTGAAAATAAAACAATTTTTTAAAAATTAAAAATAGATTTTCTTTTTTTCACTTACAACATAAGTTTATTTTTATATTCTTCTTCAATTTTATTACTTTCTTTTTGAGCATCGTCAAGTAATTGTTGTTGTTGTGTTTGTATTAAATGAATAACTTTATCAATACTACATTTAGTAGCTTCTGATATTTCTTCAGTACGATGTCGACAATATTCATCAATTTGTGAATGTGTTGAACCTTAAAAATTTGATAATGAAGAATTTACTCTTGTTCTTTTTTTCTTTTATAAATCAATATTGATTTTATACCTAATTTAGCCATTAATGCATTAACTTTACTATTTGAATGAGTTGAAATTGCTTTCGATTGTGTTTGACTACTAACAACCGATTTAATCTGAACATCTTCATAGACGACTTTATGAACAGTAGACGAATTGGATTTCTTTTCGGGATGATCAGTACGTCCAGTAAGTGCATGAATTATTGATGACATAGTTTCAGTTCAAAACTAACTTTTGCCGTTAGATCGGCTATATAGAGCTTTTTCTTTTTTTCCTTCGAGGAATGCCTTATATAAGCAAAAGAGTACGAGCAAATAATTGCATTGTGTCGAACGATGATAGTTTCTCATTTTTTTTCTGTAAGAAAAGGAGAAAATGTATACGAGAATTTTTTTCTTCCTTTTTCTCTCGGTTTTTTTCCAGTGGTAGCTAGCTAGCATTGCATGCGATCTAATTCCAAAGAGATGAATAGGGTTCAGCGGGCAAGGCTCTATACAATAAGCAAAAGGGCTAGTCGTTCTGATAGCGCATACAAAAGAAATTTATTATTTGTCGTAGATAGAAAAATACAGTTTGAAGGTTAATAAAATTCATAATATTACCGCTCATTTATAACGAGAAAAAGTATATTCTGCGATTGAATAGGAAAATTTTCGTAAAACAAAAAAAAGATAATAAATAATCTTATTCTACAGGGATGTGATTAAAATCTATTAAATAGAATGGAAGAATGTGATTTTTTTTCCTCACGACTTACAAAAAAAACAAACATGAGATATTTATTAGTATAAATATATTTCTTAGGTAGTCGGGCTTTTTCTTTAATCTAGTATAAAAAAAATAATAATATTGAAATCTTTTTTGTTAAAATTTCTCAGAAAAAAGAACAATGAAGGTAAATAAAAATTCTTGAATGCATATTATATTTAAGTATGGATTATATACTATAAAATAGAATGAAAAACACCTACATGTATTTATTATAAATCATTCTATTTATAAAAAGTAGTAATCAATAGGAAATGGAAATCCGTAATTGTCTATTCTCTACTAGCAGATCATTGTAGAAAGTCATTTAATATTGATATCGCTATACTAAGCATACATATATAGTTAGTCTATTGTTTCCAGATGAATAAATATAGAAATAAGAATCAATCTACTAGAACAATAAACGAGCATGAAATTACTTTTCGAACAATGTATTAAAATCATCTTGCAGATAAAAAAATCGAGCAAACAATTCAGTTATGAACAATTTTCTCATAAGATTTATGTTTTGTCAAACAGTTTAGTTTCGGGTTTTTTTTTGTTTTCTTAAAAAAATTCGTAGATCTCTTGGAAACCGCATAAAAACTAATCATGTTTCATTTGTCTTAAAATTTAGTCACGACTACAATGTGATGTTGAATGTAGACATGTCCACTAACTATATTTTATCGTCAATTTCGCTTTCATCTTTAATTAGGCTCTCTGTGTTTCTAAATATATACACAACATTTATTAGTTTAAGTGAGTTTTTTTCTGTCTAGAATAAACACATCGAGCGGAAGTGCAAACGCACCCATATTTATATATATATATTTATAAATATAAAGAGACAAAAGAAGGGGGAGAACCGATAACAACAACATATTGTGAAACATCACACCAGCTGCATTGTATTACAGTTAGTAATGAGATATGAATATCTTTTTGATATGCTACTCACAGATCAGCTGGTATTTGCTAGATTAATAAAGATCAATCATGAAAAGCTATAGTTCATTGTGACATATTTAAAGCCAAAATTTTTGTTGTGCGTATTCTTTAAATCAAATGATCCTATTTTTATGCGTAATATAGACTAAGAGAAGACTTTAGATCAAAAGTGAGTATTATATTATAAGCATTGATTGGAGTCTTTCATTAATCCGATATAACAAAAAAAGTAAATCACGCGATACGAAAAGTGCAACATTGCTTGCCGATAATATACATCAGTCTTTGAGCTATGTGATGTTTAAACTTGGTATAAATCATCATAGCAACTATCCTGAAAATTCTATAATTTTTTTTTTGTTTGTTTTGTATTTGAAAACACATATTAAAATGTGGTACCCTTTTTTTTTTAAACTTTTATGTTTTATTTTATGCGGCGAAGAAAAGAGCGACAAGTTCAATGCCTTGAAAAACTCTTAAGAAATTATCATCTATTTATAGAAGTGCGTGTTTATATAATAATAAAAGAAAGCTTAATTCAAAAAAACAAGCATTATACCTTCACATATTCTTTCAAACAAAAAGGAAAAAAAGCAATTGATTGACAACAATCTCCTTCGGGAATTCTGGCATAGCATATTGTTCAAGCATAAAATGACGCAAATCATCAAAAAGTTAACATAATATGAGATGCTAAGTAAAAAAATTAGATTGTTTTTGAAAGATCAGACGTCACGCTATTTTCCACATATTTATCTCAATTTCAATAATTCTGAAAAAAATTGACTCTTTTTTGTAGGGAAAATCATTCACAATCGGACAGCATTTGTTCTTAAGAAACTAACTTTTTAGGACTGTCGAATTTGCAAGAACTAGTTTTTCATAAAAATTGTTTTTTTTTATCCAGTACAGATTTCTTAGAGTTGATTTAGTAAAATGTCATATCAAAAATTAAACTAGACAACGACATCTTTTATCGTTTTATGATATTCTACTCTTCTATTCTAGCTATGATTTATATGACTAGCAGCTGTCATTATTTAACTGCATCATCGTGATTGTTTCTTATCTTAGCTTTTATTACGAATATTTTTAATTGAATCAAAATAAAATGTTCTTACAAGAGCTCGAATAGTTGATCTAGTTGAAACGATTAAATATATTTTTGATGACACAAATAATACATATGAAATCTGTTTGTGTGCGAGTAGAACATATTGACAATTTTATTAATAGCAACATATGTTATCTTTTTATAAAGGTTAACAAGATACATAGAGTGCTTTGCTATCTTCTTTTGATAGTAACAATATTATTAATCGATTTATGATTGATTTTTCATATGAATCATTTTTCAAACCTTTTATTCATCATGTTAATTATGATATGTTCTTTATATAATGGTACATTAGAATATTAGGTTTAGTGCAGATATAAAAGTGATTGCTGTGTGTTAAATGATACAATAGAAAACAGAAAGTTCTTATAAAAATAATTATCGTACGGAGAAGTATAATTTCTCAAGAAAGAATTATGCTAATTCGAATCTTAAATGTCTTAAGATATACTTCTGCATGAGAGTCTATCTATGTTTTCTGCAAAAAATCGAATGATGTAAAATAGAATTATTGTGTTAAGTTTAGATGTTAAATGAATCTTTTATTGTTTCTCATAAATATAGATCGATAAGTTGATTTAAATAACTATGAACCTCTTATTGAAGTTCTCATGCTATACTGTTAAAATATTATATAGAATTCGATGAAATAAATTCACAACAAAGTATCATATCCATACAACAGCTCTATTCTCTCTATAGATACTAATAAAAACTGTATTTTATTTCTAACAATCAAATTTAGAATATTTTTATATTGAAATCTTTTGATTTAATAGGAGAGTAAAGATCTATATCTTGGTCACGTTTAATGCGTAGCATTTTTCTCTGTCGAAAATTATTGTATCTTGAAGTTTTTAACGGCATTTTCAGTGAAGAAATTATACATGATCGCAACGCCATCAATCTCAATCACTATTACCGGATTTTTGTAATCAACACTGATGGCTGTCGAAAATATGAGTATTGTTTTTCTTGAAGATAATCCTTCATTTGATTATTGAATGATAGAATAAGGCCATACTATATGCACTCACTTCAGAACTCAACATTGTTTTCTAGATAGTACATATAAAAGTTGCACCGAAGATTTCTAAAAAAAAGAATAGACATGTTTCGGTTTTGTTAAATATACTGATGACAATTACTATAGATAACGACAGTTTTAATCAAGACTCATTTTGGATTTGAAGATCTTATACAATTCGTTTTATTTGATTATTTCTATCAATTTTTCTGTGTCTTGTACTTCACATACTAGGATCGAATTCATCCTAGTGTTTTCTCAAAAATTAGGAAAATGTTCAGGAATTTATCATTGTTAATTCTATATAACTTCTACTGATTAAACTCGATTTATGCAATATGTAATTAAACTTGAAAATATTGCCGTGGATGATGTCATTTTTAATTAAGTTTCTAAGTACGAAATAATATTCTTTTATTTAAAAATAAATTCCAACTTTAATTTCTATTCAGGCAACATAGCACTTACTATATAGCGATTTTTAAGTAGACAGAATATTTATTCTCATTTATTCATATTCTAATATATGCACGAATGACTTTTGTTTCTGTGTCAACATTAGAAAATGATGTTCGAAAGTATTTTTATGAACAAGCAAATCAACATATTAATTTTGTCGAGCATCGAATTTCGAGAAAAAACATTTATTCTACTACAAGGAATTTATCAGTTAAAAAGTCCTTCATTCCTTTTTTGGTTGGAACGTAACTTAATAAAACTAAACAACATAATATATTCATACTCTAAATATCATCGATGAGCCAGATTAAGTGGTAGACAAACAAACAGTAATAAAAAATACTATGCAAATAAATAATAGATCCTTTCTGTTTTTTTTTGATCTGCGTTTGCTTAGACGAACGAGATTTCAATTAAAGTTAAATTCTCTAAGATGATATGAAAAGCTTAAAAGAATACACTTGTATTTCTATAATTAGTTTCAAAACAAAGATCCATACTCTCAGAATTTCTCCAATGTTAACGGTCAAAACTTGAAGATGATAAAACATAATTACAGAGCCTTGTCTGCAGAGATTTGATATAATTAAAAAATAACACAAGATAAAAGTTCGAAATATATAAAATGGATCGAGTCATGATTTTTAGGTTGATCATATGACAATTATGGCGAATTTATGATCATTGACATCTTGAATAGAAATTTTTATCTGTGTATAAATCAAATGAACTAGATCAATTCCTAAAGTTTGTAATGAGAAAGAAGAAACTACAAACTTCGACTTAAAACTTACATTCAATACTTTCTTGGAAAATATATGTGAATTTGTTCATATGAATTTTTCATATCCTTAATTAATTTCTTTATAACAAAATAATTCACTTCTAACAAGCATGTTTTTTTATGT